TACACCGACATATAGTAAAATACTCCCCCGCCTGGGGGAGGTGGATGGTGAGGGTGGCGCAATGACATATAGCAAAATACTCCCCCACCTGGTGGTGGGGGATGCGGAGGTGGGTGAGCCTGGCGCAATGAGATATAGTAAAATACTCCCCCACCTAGGGGATGCGGAGGGTGAGGGTGGGTCACCACCGGTGACCTTGTGAGGTAATCTCCGGTGACCTTGTGACGTAATCACTGACCTTGTGACGTAATTAGTGACATTGTGACGTAATCAGTGACTTAGTTACGTAATTTTAATCTGTTTTAATTAGTATGTTTATATTGTGTAATTTTTTATTTTGACCCAGTTACGTAATTTTAATGAGTTTTTATTACGTAATTTGATTATTTGTTTGATTTTAATTATTTTTATTTTGTTTATTTTTATTTTTAATTTTCAATTAGTTTAATTATTAACTAGTTACGTAATTTGATTTTAATTTTTTAAATTTTTTAAATTTTTAAATTTTTTAAATTTTTAAATTTTTTAAATTTTTAAATTTTTTAAAATTTAAAATTAAAATTTGGTATAAAATTTTCTTTACGTCGTAATCTATGGTTAGAACTACAATCATAGCATTCTCATGCGAGATAACTTTTTTTTTTTTAGAAAATTTCACAAGTCCCTCCAGATTGGTCTGACTTCGAAAAATTTGCGCTTTTTTCTGTTTGCGCTTTTTCCGTTTGCGCTTTTTTCTCTTTGCGCTTTTTTCCATTTGCGCTTTTTTCCCTTTGCGCTTTTTTCTCTTTGCGCTTTTTTCTGTGTGCGCTTTTTTCTTTTCGCGCTTTTTTCCGTGTGCGCTTTTTTTCCGTTGCGCTTTTTGTTTTGCGCTTTTTTGCGTTGCGCTTTTTTCCGTTGCGGTTCTTTCTGGGAACCAATCAAACACACGCTGTCGCCGGCAAAATTCTTTTTTAAAAAACAACAAAGTCCATATCAGGAGAAGCCGCGACATATGAAGTGGGCTTTCATGATGCGCGGTTCTTCTTTGCGGCATTAGTTAGATCCTGAAATCCATTGTACATTTTTCAATGTTAATGTTTTTGTGATAGTGGTTGAATTTGTATCCTGTACTATCTTGTATCCTACAAATAATAAAAAAATAATATAATAGTAGAAACTTCGGTTTTATATACGTTTACTTGTTTTTCCTTTACAAGAAATATCATAGTAAACTTTTAAGGCCTAGAGTTGGAATTATCTCCCCTGAGTAAGTTTTACAAATGGGCGATGCTGACGTACATTTTGTTGTCTCTTTCAAGTTTTTTTTCGAGCCGACCCCCATCCCATCCCTCTTTCTTAGCCTCGCAAGTATCGAGTAGACCAATGTATCGTTTATGAACTACTTCCTAACCGTGCGATTCAACACTTCAGCACATTTTGTCAGACACTAGGCAGCACTAGTTAACATATATTAATTTACTTGCATAGTATTAGGCACATCTTATTCACAAAACAGGGAAGGTAAAATAATTTTTTATATAATTATTTAGAAATTAATTAGAACGTTTAGAATTAATTGAACATTATTAATAGTCAATTACTATTTATAAATGACGTCATTGAGGTGGGGGTGTGTGAGAGTCTGGCTTTTTGTGACATCATTTGCGGATTTCCTGCCCCCCCCCCCCCTCCCTAAATCAGAATGTTATCCGACTCGTGAGCTGGCCACATACAGTTGTACATGTGAAAAACATTTTTCTATTACGCATTACTGCATCATTCACCCAATCGCCATGAAAACATGTGAAGCTGTTGAGTAGGCCTACAGCCCCGCAAAGGTTTCTGACATAGGCCTAACATTTGTTTACATATTGGAGTGGGGACGCCTAACGGAAATATGTGATTTAGCGCCCCAAGATCCTGGATAAGCGGATGAGGTTACTACTTGAATCCACCGGCGGCAGTGTCATCCTAAACGCATCACATATGAGCAGGTTGGCCCCCACAGACAGCCGTTTAAAAGTTCCACAACACTAGGAATAAGTCTCCGGGGGGGGGGGGGGGTGCACTTGATATTTTCGTGGGGGGGGGGGGGGGTCAGACACTGGTAAAAGTATATATTTTCTCTATAAATTTCCATTTCGTTCGGTGGGAGGGGGGCGGTAGACTGTTTTCGGGGAAAGGCAGGAGGGGAGGCTCTGCCGGAAGAAACAATGTGTTGCACCCATCACCCGTGCAGTAATGTAACCGGTAACTAAAGTTACGGTAAACCATGGTTTATTTGACCATTGAAATATAAATAAATTGAAAGTCGATTGTAGTAAATTAATGTTTTAATTTTTTAAGTTTAATCGACAAAAGGAAGCAAAAATAAATATAATAGTAGATTTAAATTAGTAGATCTAAAAATAAAATATATATATATACTAGCCGTCCCGGCCAGGCCCTGCTCTGGCTTCTGTGAAAAACCTTTCCGTTAAAGACCATTACCTGTGTGTTTAGTAATCATCATAAACCCGGCATTGCCCACCCAAACCACAACCAACCAAAACAACAAAACGCAAACATAACGCTAACACAATTACAAATACAAACGAAAACAAAAACCTAGCAACAAACCCAACCACAACCACAAACACCAATACAAACACAAAGAAAAAACAAACGAAAACAAAAACCTAACAACAAACCCAACCAAAAACACCAATACAAAAAAAAAACAACGAAAAAGCAAACGAAAACAAACCAAATCCAAACGCAAAACCAACCAAAAACACAAATACAAACCCAAAGAAAAAAACACAAACAAAAACGAAAAAAGAAAGAACAAAAACGAACCAAATCAAAACGCAACCACTAACGCAAACCCACCTAAACACAAAGAAAACACTAACGCGAACATAAACGCCCGGGGCGGAATCACCTGTTTTAGCTTAATGAACGACTATAGTACCCCAACTTATTCATAGTCTTTTGCACTCACTTAAACGAACGCGCCTGTTTCAATTTAATGAACAATTATAATACTCCAAGCTTATCCGTAAAATACCTACAACATTTGCACTTGATCAATCCCCGCTAATTATGTAATTATTTTTTTCCCAACACCAAAACAAAGTAATTAAAAAGTAAATGCTTTTCAACTAATGCAATGGTTTTATAAAGGGAAGTAATTGTGCTTTGCCTAATTTATCAAAGGGAAGTAAGCGCTATAGGACTAAATAAAGACATAATTAGAATTTTTGTAAAAGATGATATTTTTTTTAAAACTTGTGTTTCATGAACATGCCGACAATGATTACTATAATTTGAAAAATGGAAATGATTTCCCAACACTTTTAATAGTAATTTTTTAACTCATAAATTTAGACCAACGCGCACGATAATTTTCTAACACTTAAATCCATCGATAACCAGCGACAAACAAACATATGCGTTACAGAATTGAGCTTTATATATTAGATTAATATAAATATAAATAATGAAGTCAAATGTAATAATTTAATGTTTTTGGCCTGCAGCGGATTTGCGACCATTAATTAATTAGATCTAGATCTAGCTAGATATCTAGCTGCTAGCCCAAGTAAAACAAGTTAATTAAAAAGTCTAGTGACATTTAAGCGCAATTTCCTTATGTTATCTAAAAATAGCTCTGTCGTAGCGTAAATCAAGAGCAGGGTTAGTAAAACCATTGGTTAAAATATATGTTTTATTTATAATAGAATTACATGACTAAAAACCATTGCGCGCCTAGCTACTGAACGTGATGACGCAGCCATTGAACGTGATGGCGCAGCTATTGAACGTGATGACGCGTGTGGTGTGGTTGGATAAAAATGCCTACTAATTCGGTCCAAATTTTAATTAATTCAAAAAAATTGTTGTGACCGAACGAAAGGATATTTTTGAAAACTTTCTTCGGCAATACTGTTCTAAATTATGACAGGAATCGATTGGTACATGTTTCAAGTCGCTAAGTTGTCTGGTTGTCGAGATATGGGCAAAAAAACTGCATTTTTTTCGAGGTTTTTTGGCTTTTCTGGGAAATCCATGAAAGAAACCCAGAATTTTTATGGCCTATGTTCATCCTCGTAACTTGCTTAACATAATTGCTTTTGGAACTAGTCCTCGATATTGCTTCGTTGAGGAGGAGATACGACTTAAAGCTGCGGACACACATTCATACATTCATCCATCCATTCATCCATCCAGAAATGACGGGTTAATAAACGCAATTCTCCAGAATGGAAATTGCGCTAAAAATTTAGATTACGAAAATAGTAAAAATGATTACAAAATGTAAAAATGATTACAAAAATAAATCTATCCAAATTTTAAACATTCTGTATAAAAATAAAAGATGACGCCAAAAAAGTATGGTTTACAGTACTTCCGGTGAATTCCGGAAGTGTGTGACAGACTTTGGCATTGTTTTACTGTTTTTTACTGCTATACGATTCCGGAATAATAACCGACGCTAAACTAAGGTTTTGGTAAAATCACGATATAGCGTCGGAAATTATTGGGTAATGTTCGTTGAGTTTCGGTAACATTCGTTACTGTAAACCATAGTTTATTTGACCGTTGAAAGAAAAATAAAGTCAAGTGCATTAAATTAATGTTTTAACTTAATTTAATGTTTAACTGACAAAAAATTAGCAACAATTAGTAAATCTAAATATTATTAATAAAGTCGAGTGTAGTAATTAATGTTTTTTTTTAAGAAACAAAAAATCTGCAGAAGATTTGCGACAACCGGCTCTAGTTCTGTTAGTAAATAAGACGATTAGATTTACTAAAGTTAAAAGTAGTAAGAATAACTAGAATAATGTTTAGTAGCAGCAATAATTAGCACATACACTTAATATAGTTAGAAATAGAAAATAATTAGCAAAACAGTATTTAAATTGCAACTAAAATCAATCCTTGCACATTTTTCAACATTATGTATTAAAAATTATATGGCGGCAAATAAATGATGTTTTACAGTATTTTCGGTGGTTCGAACGGCTCGACAGTCTAGGCTACGCCATGGTTTTACTGTTTTTTTTACTGCAGTACAGTTCCGGAATAATAACCGACGCTATATCGTGATTTTACCAGAGTTTGTCTATGTAGATCTAGATCTATGACTAGTTGACTACCTAGCTTAGTTTCTAGATTAGATCTATAATTGAGCCTAGATCTGTATCTATAATTTAACTATATTAGACTTCATCAATAAAATAAACAATGGAGCCAATTAAAACTACACGTATTACTGGGATCTATTCTTATCTCGAAACGGTGTGTGTGTGTAGTGTAGTGTAGTGACAGTAGTGTCTAGTGTACTAGTGTAGTGTTACAATAGTCGTGTGTCAAGTTATGAAATTAAATTTTATTTAAAATATTTAAAGGTAATCTATCGTTTTAGGTACGTAAAATCGCCCGCGACTAGTAATGTGAAAAACAGATGACTCCTTACTCCTTGCATTGTAATACTAATAGGCCTAAGCCCTAGGGCCTAGGCCCTAATTATTTCACATTTTGAATTAAAACTTTTCAGTAATAAATGACAAATGTCATTTATAAATGACAAATGTCATTTATTAAATGAACACCAGCGATGTTTCCAACAGATGCAACCATGCTCAACTACTATAGCAGCCATCTTGTTAAAGTTTTATTTTTATAGACTTATAGTTAGGGCCTATAGCGTGAGATTCAGGCAGAAGTCACTCTATTTTACAAATGGCTGCTGTTTATATAGCAAATCTTGCTTGCAGACTCTGCTGTTTAAGTTAATTTCTGGCCTATATTGATATATTTAGCGGATGATATTTCGAATCGTCCCTTTGAATCCCGGTCAGAACGTCCCCCCGTCGTGGCCTCAACCAACCGGCGGGCTTGTTGCATTGAGTTAAATATAAACTCAAAACAATAATATAAACAATCTCCTTTCAGTAGGTCAGGAAATTTTGGCTATCCTTTTGCCTGTGAAAGTTTTTATTTTGCTTGTGTTTTCCCTAGAGCGTAGCTGAATGACAGAATAGTGAAACTATTATTATAGATTTTATATGTATCTGTTACTAGCTTTGTATTGCTTATGGTTTCCGTTATACATTTTCATCTCTTAAGTTTTCTAACTTAATTTATTTACAATGGACTAATACATTTCAAAAGTTGTGTTATTTTGTAGCACGCCCTTTATCTGTGCCCACATGAGCCCAGCGGTCTTTGCCTCTTCCTCTAACATTCTTCTCCACAATCTCTTTGGCCAACCCACTCTCCTTTTTCCCTGGGGATTCCAGTCCATATCATTTTTTGCTATATTATTTTCTTCCCTTCTTAGTGTATGTCCAATCCATCCCCATTTACGGGCCTTGATATCCTTATCTATTGGCTGTTTTGCATTTTGCCACATTTTGATGTTTTGTTTGGCCATCTTAATTTAAGGATCTGTCGTACGCATTCATTTGTGAACGACTGTAGCCTAGCTGTATTTACCTTTGTAACCCTCCAAGTCATAGAGCAATAATCCACTTCGGTGGACGTTGTATTTGGTGTCCATCCCCCCCTCAGATTTTTGTCGAATTAACTCTAACAGTTAGTAAATTATTAAATTTGGTGTCACCACCACCTTAGACATGGTTTGACGTATCAGTTTTTATAAGTTAAGTTGGTGTCAGAAACACAATTTTTGTGGAATTTGTTTTTCAGTACTTTAAAATTTGGATTTACAACTAGCGTGCCCGTACCCTTGCGATGCCCCAGTGTTAAAAAAAGTCCTATCGCCTTGAAACTTTAGGAAGTAGTTAAGAATACTTCTGGGGAGGTTTCTCTGGAAAAAAATATTTCAAATTCACAGGGCCAGGGCGCGATTTGATTTTTATATATACTGTATATAAAAATAGAAATCAGATGCGGTTCAACACCATTCATCCAAAGTGCCATAAAACTTTGGGCAGTTTATGAGAATACTCCTGTGAAGGTTTCTGCAGAAAAAAAAATTAAAATCTCTTGTGGGTGTCACTCAGGAGGGTGTTTTTTTTGTCAATACACAATTTGGCACCCAGAGTACTAGAGCGGCTATCTTAGCACTTGGTATCCGTTAATTGGGTGTCCTGCATAGTGGGTAAGGGGTACTACTATATTCAATGGTAAAACTGCAACAGACACAGCCGCCTGCACCTTGGCGATTGCGTGACTCGAGGCTCCCCTGTGAACACTATGGCACTTATGTTCATTATAAAAAGGCTATACACTATAGGTTGACTATATTGAATAAGGTGCGTCCTCCTGTGTTCCGATACAGGGCGATTAGATGCCCGGGGCTCTTAAAAGGAATTTTAATCAGATCTTCTAATTCAAGAATATAATAAAAATAATTTACTGATGAACTAGAAACTAGAACTAAGAGTTTTTGGGCAGAGAAAAGGCAACAAAATAAAATATTTATTGATAAAAAACAAAAATAAGTATAAAAACACAATGAATAATTGTTAATAACTGGGCTTTTAATAGAATTAATTAAGGCGATGCATCTGTGTATTTTAATAAAGTAATAAGGTTGATTAATCTCTCTCTATATATATACTAGCTGCATACAAACAAAACACAATCACAAGCACAAAAGAAAACACAAACCCAAAAGAAAAATAAACTCGAAAGAAAACATAAATCCAAAAGAAAACACAAACACAAAGAAAACATAAACACAACACAAACAAAAGAAAACACAAACCCAAAAGAAAACACAAGCACGATGTAAACAAACACAATGCAAATACAAACGAAAACACAATTGCAACAGATTAACACAAAAGAAAAAACAAACGCAAATGAAAACATAAACACAACACTCATAACATAAGCACAACTTAAATGCAAAAATAAACGCATAGTGCTCACAGTCTAGCCCGTGATTCCAAATCGCACCCTGCCCGAGCACTGGCGGACGCTTGATTCGGTGATTGACTATAAAACCCCCAGCGTGTCAGCAAACCGAAAGATAGAATAATAATTAGTAAACTGTACGTTCAGTGTATAAAATAAATAAAAGGCAGTATCTTTAATATAAGGCTGCTGGTAGTGTGTCAGTCATTCCACCATCGCTATAGATTTTGGAAGTCTCTCCCTGGGCGCGGACGGCAGAGAAAACTTGTCATTCCGCTGCTGTTTAGGTGACGCATTGGGCTCGTGGAGGAGAGTTGTCTTTATCAATTCATGCATTTTTTTCAGTACTTTCAATGTTAAAAATTTACAATAGAGTTTCATGACTAAAACCATTGCGCACCTAATGAGCGTAATGACGCGTCTATAATAGTGCGGAATAATTTATTTAAAATTAAAATTAGTAAACAGTACGTTCAGTGAATGAAATAAATAAAATATTGCCTTTTATTAATCCATGCTAATTATAATATTCTAACAATAATGTCCTCTTACACATCCGCATAATTTGCATTCACATTTTGCTAATTATATTATTGCAACAATAATTCCTTCGTGGAGGTCCGCAGATTTTGCATTCACATTTTTTTAATTAGCGTTAGTTGAATTTATTTTTAAATTACCTCCCTGGGAAAATTACAAAAGAGTTAAATTAATTCGTTTTTTTTACCCTATTATTATTGAATTGTGTCCACTTTTTCTAGGAATCTAAACGAAAATGATATTTGACATTGATCCGTTTAATATGTATTAGCAATGTGCGTGTATTTAATATTTTCTTTACGTTATACAAAAGAGTAAAAACAGTGGCAACTATAAAATAAATTAAGTCGTTATATAAACAAACCTTACTCTATTACTTACAATAAGACACTGCGATGCAAGTAAAAAGCACGACATGTGAAGTGTTTACTTTTATGGCTCGAAAACCTATAGCGATGACGGACTGACACACTACCAGCAGCGTTACATTATATATATATATATACATATATATATATATATATATATATATATATATATATATATATATATATATATAATTATATATTATAAATGAAAGGATGTGGGTTTGTGTATTTGTTCTTTATTTATGCATTGCTACACCTTTCATCTGATCTTCATGAAACTATTGATTTAATGAGAACGCTGCCATGAGGGTTTCTGTAGGGGGGGGGGGGAATTCAATCTTGACCCCAGAATAAAATAAACCGGGAGTGATCTCCCCTAAACTTTCTCGAATATTCTTATATAAAATAACAGGGGATGGGAACTCGAGATATATACATGATTTTTAATCCATTTTAAATACTTAAAGTTTTAAAAATAGAATAAAATCTCGTAGACAAAAGAATTGCACACCAAGTGAACGCCAAATAAAAAAAAGTGCATAATAGTGCGCAAAATTATTAGTACTTAAACTATTTACATTAGTTTTTTTGAGAAATCGGAAGTAGCGTAAATTACTACTTCCGGTCAACGGAAATTACTCAAAATTTAACAGAAGGTAGAGAATTAGATCTTATACTTACATGTGAAATTTCATTTATCTATCTGAAATAGTACTCAAGTTATAGGCTTTTTAAAAATTCAAAGTAGAAAAAGTACCACTTCCGGTTATCGGAAATCACTCAAAAGTTGATACGGATCTACGATTTTGATAAAATACTTATATATGAAATTTCATCAACCTAGCTGTAACGGTACTCAAGTTATCGTGTTTACACACGGACACACACACACACAGACATACTGACAGAATTGCAAAGCCTAGTTTTTCAGACTGGATTACGCATAAAACCTCTTAATTTTGATAAATCTGGATTGATAATTTTTGCCCAATTAAAATAAGTCCTCTATACTTCGGAGGTGATGAAGGACTGAGGTGTAATACGGTGAAAATTGTTAAAATTTCAAGTGATTTTTGGCACGATTACAATACTTTCTCTATACTTCGTATATACGAGAAAGTAAAAAAGGAACTTTTTTCAATTTTAAACATTCAGATGAACTAACCAGACTTAGATTATTTAACAAAAAAAAAAAAGATCTTTTCTGTTTAATATTTTACAAAATATAAAAGATAATGATTAATATTCAAGTGTCAAACCAATTGAAAGGATCCTGGAATTGGCTTTTAACAAGTGTTTAATAAAAAAATAAAATTTCTTGATTTTTTAAGCTTTATTAAGTATTATTTTAAAAATAATTTTATTGCCAGTTTCATGGCAGAATCTAAAATCACACTATTTTTATCCATGGCAACAATTATGAAAGTTTCTTGACAACTCCATTAGACAAATAATCTTATAAAGGCATACTCCAAAATCAAACAACTGCTGCCTTGTAGTTTGTTCTTGTTCAAAACTATGAAAGCAAATAAAAAAAAGCAAAATGTTGGGGGTATGTTGGCATGGCGATTAATTTTATACATTTATATTATTCGCATGCTATTACAAAAAAATAACAACTAAAATATATATATGTTAATCAACTAAGCGTCTTTATTTATTCTTCTTTCTCAATTCAAGTGTTCGACTCTATCCCACACAATTAAGTATTACGATTCAACTTGTTATGAGCTTTAAATATGTATTGCAGTTCTTTGCTTATAAAAATATAACTAATCTATATATATAATTCTCTTCTTGGAGACGTTAGAAAACACCAAGCTGTAAGCGCGCCTTGCAGTCCCCTCTCTTCCTCTCTGGTGAGCTGTGGTTCACGCTAAATGTTTACAAGCGTAGAGTCAGGTTTAGTGATGGCTATTAGGGGCAGATAATGTAGTGTGAAACGATTTTAAACTTAGGGGAGGCAACGAAGAGGAGTTTGCTTTCAAGGGGGGGGATGTGGTAGGGGTTGGGGGAAAGGAGGGTTTTAAAGCAAATATTTTCAGTGGCAGCATTGGTACTGTCGGATTCACAAATTATGAATTACTGAAAAGTTTAAAATAAAACAACTAAATAGCGGCGTATGATACACCGCGGGTCGGCTCGTGTTTTTATAATTCCTTTCTTCCACAAGAGTGCAATTATGTTAATTTTTTAAAAAATAAATAAAGGTGTCTTACAAAGTGACATTTAAGTTCAGTTAATAAAATTTTGAAACTTGATATTATCAACTTATATAGTATATACTTTTGAGTTCTTGTAGCAACCTCTGGATATTATAACTTAAAAGATCGAAGAAATATTCTTACTACATTTTTTATTGTGTTACTCTATGTACATCTATGTATTTTATTCTTTCAGGTGGACTGGTCAGATCCTTGGTTTACAGGCTTGTTTACATTTCACATCTTCACATTTGTTATAACATTCATCACAAGAAGAAAGCAGATGATTCAGGCTGCACACTTTATCATCCTGTGTTGGTATACCTTCTGAATCTTAATGTTAACAAAAGCGTTAATATCTTTTTTTTTTAAAACAATGCTTTTCTTTGAGACTGCAATCTAGTTTATTAGCTTTTGTAAATTTTATTCCCAAGTATTGTATATGGTAGTGTTCAGATGTATTTTGATTAAAGACATATTTGGCATACATTTTACCCTCACATTCCACTCCTCTCCCCACTCCCCCGTTGAAAGCAGCCATCCGTGACGACAGTTTACAGACGACAATGAAAAGATGGGGCAGAACGTATTATTACCTCCCTTTAGTTTAAAATCGTTCATAAACTAAATTTTCTGCCCCTAATTGCCGTCACTAATTCTACCTGATAGTAAACAGCTCACCAGACTGGTGGGGTGGGGGTTGTAGCGATATGGTCTGTTGAGGTTACGTCTTGGTGGTGTCTCGCATGGTCCCCATGTAGAGAATTATATAAATAGATAGGCTCTAAATATCAATGATTCTTTAATCGCTATCCGATCAGTAAAATAGCATACGGTTTTAGCATGTGGGCGGAAGACTATACTGTTGCCGAAATTTTAAGAGCAAAAAAAAATTAGTATGTTGTACCAAATAGACCGTGCTTTGATTGCTTGTTGCATAACAAGTCATACAGTTAAGGTCAGTAGGTCTACTATATGCTGTAAAAATGGTACAGCACTAAGACTGCTTATGATTTGTTACTTTGTTTAACCTAAATGATAATTTCAAACTATAATACATTATTGTGGAAATTGTTCTAAAGTAGACAAAATAAACTAGCACTTTTTACAAACTACACTCTAAAGCAGTGGTTCTTAACCTTTTTAGAGGTACCAAACCCTAACAGTTTCATACGCGCATTCACCGAACCCTTCTTAATAGTTTTACTACTTCTTAAACCAGTACAATTAGTTCTGCATTTGTTGTTGACGGTGTGCGAGAAGGCAGCGCACACTTACGAAATCCAAGACTTCGATCTGTTATGTCTGTTGGATTCCAGTTTGTTTGCTTTAGCTTGTTTCGTCATACAATCAACCAATCAACGAAATACCCACGTCGTATTCCAATGCGAGTAATAAATGATTCTGATCAGTTGATCTTGTAAGTCACTTTTATTAGGTACTAGACTACCCGTCATCCCTTGGATAACTGTGGGTTTCGAGGGTCATCCATAAAAAACATCACGTCTGTCACTTATCGTCACAACACCAGACCCCACATTTAAAAAGACGTCACACCTCAGACGATTTTGTCTTTTAAAAACATGGATTTAGGCTGAGCATGTGTCTGACAACACAATCTCATTATATGCTGAGGTTACAAAAACAGGTCAACTCTACTTCACCTGCCCAGTGTCCTCTCAACTCAGACATGTTTTTGTCTTTGAAAACACAGATTTCGGCTGAACATGGGTCTGACCACGCTATCTCTTCATATGCTGACGTCACAGGTGAAATTTACACCAACCCAACTCTACTTCACCTGCCCAGTGTTCCGCCAAGTCTCAGACAACATGTTTTATCGTTTAAAAAAAATATGTCGGCCGAGCATGGCTCTGACCACACTATCGACGTCATATGCTGAGTACAAAGAAACGGGTGAACTCTACTTAGCCTTCCCTGTATTCCGCCAAGTTCCGATAGGCGACTTTATCATTCACATCTAAAAAAATAAACCGGGAGTGATCTCCCCTAAACTTTCTCGAATATTCTAATATAAAATTACGAGGGATGGCAACTCAGGACATAGACAATATTTGTTATCCATTTTTAATTACTTAAACTTTTTACAATAGAATAGAATCTCGTAAAAGAAAGAATTGCACACCAAGTGAAAAGTTTCCCTTTCTAACCTGACTTGAACTCTGATTCGAACTCGAGACTAACGGGTTAGCAGTCCAGCTCTCTACCGCTAGACCACTCCGTCCCACACCAAGTGAACGCCTAATAAAATGTCTATAAAAGTGCGGGATATTATTAGTACTTTATAAATTTACATGCGTTTTTTGAGAAATCGGAAATAGCGTAAATTAGTACTTCCGGTCAACGGAAATTACTCAAAATTTGACAGAAGGTAGATAATTAGATATTTTACTTACGTGTGAAATTTCATGCATCTATCTAAAATAGTACGCAACTTATAGGCTTTTGAAAAATTCAAAGTAGAAAAAGTACCACTTCCGGTTATTGGAAATCGCTCAAAAGTTGATCAGAATCTACGATTTTGATAAAATACTTATATATGAAATTTCATCAACTTAGCTGTAACGGTACTCAAGTTATCGTGTTTTACACACAGACATACGGACAGAATTGCAAAGTCCAGTTTTTACGACTCGATAAGGCATAAAACGCCAAAAAGTTTATATATTTGTATTTATAATTTTTGCCTGATTAAAATAAGTCCTCTATACTCCGGATGTGATGTAGGACTGAGGAGTAAAACGGTGAAAACTGTCAAAATTTCATGTTATTTTTGTGCACGATTACAATACTTTCTCTATACTTCGTATATACGAGAAAGTAAAAAGCATTGAAATGATATGTCATGGAAGCCTATTACACTAACACCTTAGCTATCTAGGCTCGTCACGACAATGACGTTTTTAGCGCAATTTCCATACTGGGGGATTGTGATTATTAACTCGTCATTTCTGGATGGATGGATGGATGTGTGTCCGCAGCGTGTCCGCAGCTTTAAGTCGTATCTCCTCCTCAACAAAGCAATATCGAGGACTAGTTCCAGAAGCAAATATGTTAAGCAAGTTCCGAGGATGAACATAGGCCAAAAAAATTCCCGGAATTCCTTCCTGGATTTCCCGGAAAAGCCAAAAAACCTCGAAAAAATGCAGTTTTTTGGCCCATATCTCGGCAACCAATCGATTCCTACCACTAAAAAGTAGATTTTAAGCCGTCTAATTATGTGTAATTTTTATAGTTATTGATATTATTACACAATATATCTCATTTACCAATTAAAAACTATCACCGAGATAATAAGTTAGCGAATACTTCACTTATGCTTGCATGACATGAAATTACTAAAGTCTCTTTAAGCTTAGGTCCTAAGCACTCCACATAACAGCCAATCACCAATTAATAAATCATTCAATTTCTCAATATCTTTATTTTAAAACCTAAGCAAAGCTAGGCAGTATGCCTAGTCTAATATATAAAGCTCAAATGGATTCTATGGCTCAGTATTTTTTGTCCCGATTAATATAGTTCCTCTTTTGCTGCTTCCCCACTCGAGTAAGGTTAGGCAGCAAGAGCAGATTCACATGACAATGCATACATGAAATTTTTTACATATATATACAAATTATTCTGTGCTTGTAAAATTTTCCGTGTACTTCTGTTTTCTTGTTTTCACTTCCGTTTTTTTTTCGTTTCATTTCTTCTTCTTCTTCTTCGTTCTTAATTATTAGTGTTGAAGGGGATCGAGATTTATCTGCCAGTGCGTTTGAACTCGAGACTTATGTTCGAATTTATCAACCATGAGCTTTTTGCCGACTCGACCACACCTCCAACACAATTAAGCGTTACGTGTCAACTGGTTATGCGCCATTGAGGTCATTGACTCCGATTTCAGCCTGCTTTTCTTTTTGGATTTGCTTCCATAGCCTTTGTCCAAACAAGAACAAACTACAAGTACTTTTCCTACTTTGAATTTTTCAAAAGCCTATAACTTGAGTACTATTTCAGATAGATAAATGAAATTTCATACGTAAGTAAAAGATCTAATTCTCTACCTTCTATTAAATTTTGAGTCATTTCCGTTGACTGGAAGTAGTACTTTACGCTACTTCCGATTTCTAAAAAAACTAATGTAAATTTTAAAAGTAATAATATTATTGCGCACTATTATGCGCTTTTTTATTTGGCGTTCACTTGGTGTGCAATTAATTTGTCTACGAGATTTTATTCTATTTTTAAAACTTTAAGTATTTAAAATGGATTAAAAATCATGTCTATAGCCCGAGTTCCCATCCCCTATTATTTTATATAAGAATATTCGAGAAAGTTTAGGGGAGATCACTCCCGGTTTATTTTTACCATACTCAGAAATGATAAACGAAATCAGTGTTTTAACAGAAAAAAAGGACCACCTTTCTGAATATGCTAATAAAAAATGTATACGCTGATAGAATCACATGATAATTTTCAATTTTCTTAGTTTTTTTAACATTTAAGATATTTAGTCTATTATGCATTTTTTAAACATAGTAAAGGCTATTCAACTCTGCACATTTTACAGTTATTTGTAAAGAAATACGGTGAACGGTCAAAAAAGGCCCGCGAGTTGAATGAGAGAGGTGTCAAAGCCGTTACTCGACTGCCGTCGAAAAAATCATCTCGGTGATAGTTTTCAATTGGTAAATGAGATATATTGTTTAGTATCAACAACTATAAAAATTACACATAATTAGAGGGCTTAAAATCTACTTTTTAATGAGCCCTTTTTATTATCGAAACAATGAAGTGAAAAGCTATTATTATATTTGGGCGACTCGGGTGAAAACGGCGTTTTTTGCGGCAGTTTGACATATCTATTTTTATAGATATTTTATTATAATTAAGACAATTTTTAAAGCGTATATAGAATGGTCTGGGCAGTATAGTAGTAGTAGTTTCTCTACTGGATGTATTTGTGTCGTAAAGTCATGGGTTCCACGATATATATATTTCACGATACTTGTACGTGTGATCTCGCTCTGGCGCACTTAATTATTGTGGCATGCTGTTGTGCGCGCACTGACAAATCCGATCACTAATCAGAGGAATAGGGAGTGTTTTGGCCTCCGCCAAAACCCCGGAAACTGACTAACTGAACACCTGGAGTTTATAGGCCTATATATTTTAATAATGTTATAGTTGTTTGAGAAAAATATTTTATAAAATAGTTATTGGTCAAAACACAATGTGCTTTACTACACGTTGAACGATATTATTATTAGTGAAAAAGCAAAGAAATAACTAATAAATAGCTAAAAATCCGACACATTTAAGATAACATAGGCTACCAATACCTATTAGATATACCAAATTATCTATATACTACTAAAACTCAATTTTGTTTACATGTTTGAATATTTATTTGTTTGTCTGATTTGGTACTGTAAGGAAACTGCTCTTTATGGGGGCTGTAAAATAGTATGTAGGTAGAGAATAATTTTTGATTGCAGACAGACTGTTAATCACACATTTATTGAAAGACATTAATTAATTTATTGATTTATTCATAGGTAGATTAACCACATTAAGTTTAAAGTTTTATAACAATGGCTAAGCTTTGACTGAATAGTGCCGTTTGATAACTCATTTTTTTGTTTGTTTGTTTTTTTTATTTGTTATTGGGGAGAATCCGCATTATGTGTAGAGCTGTAAAATAGGATTTTGGGTGGAAAGTATTGTTCCTTCTTAAACACACTGTTAATTACAAACTAATTTAAAGCCGTTAATTAATTTATTGATATATTCATTGGTAGATTAACCACATTAATTATAAAAGTTTAGAACAATGACTTTTTTTTACAACAATGTTTTCAATTATTCTTTCTTAAGGCCTATATGTGAATGATAGGGTTGACTATCAGGACCTCGCGGGGCACAGGGTAGGTGAAGTAGAGTTTACCTGTTTCTATGTTCTCAGCATATGAAGGGATAGTGTGGTCAGAGCCATGCTCGGCCGGAATCGTTTGTTTTTTTAAATACAAACATGTCTGAGACTTGACGGGGCACTGGGCAGGTGAAGTAGAGTTTTTAAAATATAAATAAAACGTCTTTTTTAATGTGGGGTCTGGTTATTTTGGGATGATAAGTGCTGGCAGACGTGATGTCATTTACGGATGACCCCCCGAAACCCACAGTTATCTAACTAGATAACGGGTAGTCTAGTATACATTATTAGTCAACACAACACCATATTAAATGTACGCACTGATTTAGAGACTTAAATGATTCCATTAAAACCCGGCAGTTCAATGGTATTTATGTTGTTTTTTTTAAAGTAATTTGTATTACTTTTAGCTGAGAAAATTGTATACATTTTATAGCGTAAGTCTTGATAAGTAGATCTATAGATCTAAATCAAATTTGAATGAAATAGTTCATTTCTTTATGTTCTAAAATTGGAAGATGACGCAATTATTTTTGTGTACTTTCCGTAGTTTTGACATGTGACTTCATTGCTTTTTGCGTTCTTGTCACAACTATAAATAACTTTTCTGGTTGCATAGTTAAAAATGTGTTTCTACATTCGAATATGCGTTTATTTTTATTTTCCTTCTTTGAATACAATTTAGTTTATACATTTAAAACATCCAACATATTATTTTCAAAAAAAGTCTGAATCTGAAAGTTCTCCATATATTGCTGAACATACTGATCACATAGCCTCAAAAATACTGCGGAGGGAGAGAGAGAGAGAGAGAGAGAGAGGAAGTGCGCACATGGGTTTTTTATATATTATTAGGATACCAGGTTAATATAATTTATGTGCTGTCCCTTGCGCTACTAATTTCTACTATTTATTAATTTTTTTGTATAGAGAAAGTCTTGTAATCGTGCAAAAAAAAAAATCGAGATTTTTGCAAATCTCGACGTTTTACACCTCACTGATACGGAAAAACATAATTTTGCAATCTTGTCCGTATGTCTGTCTGTCTGTCCGTGTGTAAACACGATAACTTGAGTACCGTTACAGCTAGGTTGATGAAATTTCATATATAAGTATTTTATCAAAATCGTAGATCCGTATCAACTTTTGAGCAATTTCCGATAACCGGAAGTGGTACTTTTCCTACTTTGAATTTTTCAAAAGCCTATAACTTGAGTACTATTTCAGATAGATAAATGAAATTTCACATGTAAGTAAAAGATCTAATTCTCTACCTTCTGTTAAATTTTGAGTTATTTCCGTTGACTGGAAGTAGTAATTTACGCTACTTCCGATTTCTCAAAATACTAATGTAAATTTTAAAAGTACTAATAATATTGCGCACTATTATGCGCTTTTTTATTTGGGGTTCACTTGGTGTGCAATTAATTTGTCTACGAGATTTTATTCTATTTTTAAAACTTTAAGTATTTAAAATGGATTAAAAATCATGTCTATAGCCCGAGTTCACTCCCGTTTTATTATGACAAGGTGCTGAGGCATTTTATTATTCTATATCAAATCATTTTTTTCAGTACTGTTGGTATATTGCGCTGAGACATTGAATGAACAAGCATCGCTACATTGGAAGTAAGAAACCTTTGGTTCACTCTTAAGTGTTTATGAATACTTTGTTCGTGTACACGTTTTTTTTTTAAATTTTATTTAAATAACTTTCTAAAATAAAACTTTCTACATAATGAAACATATTTTGATCTCCGTACACAATTGCATGACTACACTACTTTCTGGCATATTAAATATATGTACATTTTAAACTGAGACAGAAAACCAAATAGCTATTTATAATTTATATTTCCGTTACATGATTTACAGAAATTGTATGTACTGAAGTATGAAATTTATTCATACATTCATCATTGGCCTCTCATATCTGAACTATTGATAAGCATAGGGAATGTTGAAGTGGCCAATAAAGAAAAACATACCACTTAGTATTGGAAATCCCGTTTTCATTCTCTAGAAATAGTAGAACATTTTGTACACAAAATTTAGCGTAAGCAGTTTTTAATAAAAACAAGCATTTTAGTTTTAAATTTTGCTACTTGTAGAAAAAATTATATATATCTCAGTAGGGTAGGGCTGCACCGCAATGCACTTACTTATTTTAATACAATTACGTAGGCTAAATAGATAACCATGCTACTTTTTTGCTTCTTAGCCTTTGCATTCTTAGCCTTAGTTTCTTTAACTAACACTCTTTTCTAAAACATTTACGTATTAAATTATACCATGTAAAATATTTCTTTTACTAAGCTGTTAAGGCTGTAAAACCTGCTAACGTCAATTTAGTAAACAGGGTTTCCTACAGAGCCTAGGAAAAATTTTAAGATTAAGATAAAATTTCCCTGCCAGGAAAGCCGGGAAATCCGACGAATAGCCGGGAAATTTACAATGGACTGGGAATTGTTTCATCCCACAAATATCGCGAGTTTTGGACTAGGCATGAGCCTAGCCTAAAGTAGTCTGTTCACGTGGTTCTAAGGCACACAAAACTAGTATGGTATTGGAGCAAACTATAATCACCCACGATTTGCGATCGTTGATACAATTTCCAATTTTTTTCAGGTTTGCCACTTTTCTGGGTTAGCAAAATTTGAGTTTGAAAAGTGGCCGGGTTTGAAGTTAGAAAACAAAATAAGACTTTTGACATATGATTCTAGAAATGGTTTTTAGTATTAAGACTCTGGAGCCTTTTTACCATTGATCTGTCTTCCGCCAAACTGGCGAATAAGTGCGTTTTGAGGTCATTTGTTGTGGTTGGAAAAAAAATGCACTACTTCTAATAGTGTTATAAGAATAAAATTTATATGTCAATAAAGTTTGTCTTTATCTGTCGTGATATAAAAAAAAATAATATTGAAGGCTTAATAAAACAAATTTCATTTTCCTAACTTATAGTGTTTTTGACGTCATGCGCATTAAACAACATTAAACAAAATGTATGACTCTTCACAAAAATTCTAATTGATAAATCAGGAAAACACAATTACTTCCCTATAAAAAAAACATTACATGGGGGGGGGGGATTTACTTTTTATTATTTTATTTTGGTATTGGGGAAAAATAATTACATAATTAGCGTGAATTGATCAAGTGCAATGTGGTAAGTATAACACATATTTTAAATACTGCCGTTTATTTATTTTATAAACTGAACGTACTGTTTACTAAATATTATTATTTGTTATCAATAACAGTTAAGAAGCCAGCTCCTATATTTCCTATTTGTTTACTTCTATCTTTCCGTTTTCGGATAAGCTTGGGGTATTATAGTCGTTCACTAAATTGAATCAGGCGCTTCCGCCGGCTCCCAGGCAGGGTTTGTTTTGGTGCCTTGAACTATCATGTGAGTGCTATGGTGCAAACGTTCATTTTTTTAAAGAATGCGATAGGCCATGAATAAAAAGGGTTATTATAGTTGTACACCAAATCGAAGCCAGGGCGTCCTCTGTTATTTGGCGCCCTGGGCTTTCCCGTGAGCGCTATTGCGCCTACGTTCAGTTTAAACTGTTATATAGACTATGGGTAAGATAGGGTATTTTAGTTGTTTACTAAGTTGAATCAGGTGGTTCCGCCGGTGCCCCGGCAGGGAGCGGTATGGCGCCCCGGGTTATACTGTGAGCACTATGCTTTTATGTTTGCATTTAACTTTCTTTTGTGTTCTGCGTTGTTTGCGTTTAGGTTTGCGTTTGTATTTATCTTTGTGTTGGGGGGGTACTTGAAATTTTCGGGGGCGGGGGTAGAATTTTCCGGGAGGGGGCGGACACTGGAAAAAGTATATAATTATATTTCGTTGAATGGGACGGTAGACATGTTTTGGGGTGGGGGGGGGGAATTGGTTTTAGTTTAGAGAAATAGACAGCACTATCAACCTAGCGCCCGTTGTATCCTTCCTCAACGGGCCATTTTTCTCGTCTATATAATAGTTTCGCTGTCTGTCTATGTATCTATCTATCTGACAAGAACGCTCTAGAGAAAACACAAGCAAATTAAAAACTTTCATAGTAAGACGGAAACGAATTATGACGTCAAATTGGAGCATATAGTAGAAAATAATCTCAAGCCGGAGAGTGCACACTGTAATATGACGTCATTGATTCTCGAGTAAACATTGAATTAAAAAGCCAATTGTGTCTAATCTTAAAAGTGGTTTGCGTGAAGAGTTTCTTTCATACAATTCTTCGGGTAGGGGCGAAGCCCATCCCCTGCGTAAGAACGTCTAAGCCTATCTCCCCCCCCCCCCCAACTCAAAAGAAATGTCGTCATCGATACTCTATAAGACAATTACAGCCTAATTCGTGTGTCTAATCTAAAAAGTAGTTTGCGTGCAGAGTTTCTTTCATGCAATTCTTCGGGTAATGGCTAAGCGCGTGACCAGTGTTTCTTTCAGAATTTTTCCTCCCCGGAGGGGGGAACTTTTTCTAATCTAAAAAGTGTTTAGCGTGCAGTTTTTTTTTCATGCATCTCTTCCGGTAGGGGCGAGGCCCCGCCCAGGTTCTTCCTTTAGTTTGTATGATCTACAAATGCGACCAGTGTTTCTTTCAGACTTTTTCCTCCCCGGAGAGGGGTGGGGGTACTTGAAATTTTCGGGGGCGGGGGTAGAATTTTCTGGGAGGGGGCGGACACTGGAAAAAGTATATAATTATATTTCGTTGAATGGGACGGTAGACATGTTTTGGGGTGGGGGGGGGGGGAGATTGGTTTTAGTTTAGAGAAATAGACAGCACTATCAACCTAGCGCCCGTTGTATCCTTCCTCAACGGGCCATTTTTCTCGTATAAGAATATTCGCGAAAGTTTAGAGGAGATCACTCCCGGTTTATTAACAAATTTTTTAATATGCACAATCCTTTAAATATTAATTTTTGTTTTAAGATTATAATAAGTTTCACGGTTTAAACATTTTTAATGTCTGCTTTTTTGTTGTTTGATTAAATATAATTTTGGGAAGTTTATGTTCTATGATTATGCGCGTTGAAATTTATATGAAAAAATAGAAGGGAATTTCTTTGAATAGCAGTGAATTTATACTCGAAATAGCAAGGATTTTTCTATTTTAAAAAATTGTGAGAACCCCGAGAAAGCTTGGTGGTTCTTTCTTCTGCGACAGGGCCTGAAACTGCTAATACATATTTTTATATTATGTTAGAATCACAATTACCTCCCCTAAGTTTAAAATAGTTTCAAACTAAATTATCTGCCCCTAATAGGCGTCACTAAACCCGGCTCTACGATTGTAAACATTTAGCGTGAACCACAGCTCACCAGACCATGTGGGGGTGGTCGTGATATGACAAGAGAGGGGACTGCTAGGCGCGCTTACAGCTTGGTGTTTTCTTACGTCTCCAAGAAGAGAATTATATATATAGATTTGACAGAAGGTAGAGAATTAGACCTTTTACTTATATGTGAAATTTTGTTTATCTATTTAAAACATTACTCAAGTTATAAGCTTTTAAAAAACCTAAAGTAGAATAAGTTCCACTTTTTGATACAGCACTACACATTTGATATAATATATATATATATATGAAATTTCATCAACCTAGCTGTAACGGTACTCAAGTTATCGTGTTCACAGACATACACACACACACACAGACATACGGACGAAATTGCAAAACTATGCTTTTCCGACTCAGGGAGTTGTAAAACGTCGAGATTTGTGAAAATGTCGATTTCGATTTTTTTTGCACAATTACAATACTTCCTCAATACTCTGTATATGAAAAAGTAAAAAAGCACGCTTTTAATCCATGTCACCAATATGATGGAAGGATTCTCGTCAACTCTGTCGCCTGTATTGACAAAACCACGAATTTTATCCTTGTCAACAACGAACAATAGTGAATAAAGGATGAAAGGATTATCGTCAATTCGTTGATGCATAAATAAATTGAATTTATAGATGTTATTTTCAATACTGTATTTTCTTTTCACTGAGACTTTTCAAATGTGTCTATTTTTATTTACAATGGTGACAGAATTATATTCTTCCAAGCCTGTTATTTTACAAATAATGTACTTATATAATTATGTACAAAGAGACGGAATAGTCGAATGGTAGTGCATACGATTGCTAACACAAAAATCTCGTTTCCGGGTTCAAACTCTGATGGGTACCCAACTCACGTTAAGGAAAATAAAGGTGGTTGGGCATAATGCTGATCAATGCAGAGGTTAAATAAGCAAGTGAACTCTACTTCACTTTCCCCATGGACCGTCACGTTTGAGAGGGAACTTTTTTTTTTAATATAATACGGTATATTATTAGTTGTAAAAATGGGGGCATAATTGCTGTAGAGTAAATATTTGACAAATCACACTGATAACTAAGTTGCTCCACATCAATCAATGCTACTTATTAATTTAATAGCACACTAAACACACACACATATGAATGATTAAAACATTAGTAAAATACAAGATTTTGAGAACATATTTTAAAAATGTAATGGTTTTCTTGTAATAAAATTTTTTTTTCCTAGATTATTTTCAAAGCAACAGTATTTTGACAGTCAAGGGATGTTTATATCCATAGTGTGGTCAGCACCACTTCTTCTTAACTGTCTTGTTATAGTGGTATGTTACTTTTTTTTAGCTCATTAATATTTTACAATTCAAACATGTTACAAGTGCCAAAATATTAGCACCAACTACAATCTGATTCATATTATTATTTGTTGTTAAAATTCCCAGACCTCATATTTTTATTATTTTAATTACACAGCAAACCTACATCCTCCTAATACCACTAATAACAAAGGAATGCAGTTTCACACAGAAAATATTTGTCTAAATTTAATTAAGATTTAGTTTATTAATTTAACTCAACCATAATACTTCTGAATCAAAGTTAAAAATATCTCTAATTCTAGATCTTATTTTTTTTTAGATGATATGGATCCTTACATCATCTCAGTTAATTGTTTCTACTGGCCGACTAAAGCTGGAGGCTGAAAGAAGGGCAAAAGAAAAAAAGAAAGACTAATACCCTTAAATGAAATTAATTTTCAAGAAGATAATTATTTCAGAATCTTTAAATAAATGTTTAAAAAATTCTTTTGATGCCAATTTTTTCTAAATCTAGTTACTTAAAGTATGTTTTTTTTCCTGTGAGCATTATAGTTATACACCATATTTTTTTTCTCTTAAGAAATGCAATACAATGCAATACAACTAGGCATCCCAAACAGAAATTAACTGTCCATAATCCATTTCAGTTTCAAGCATTCGATGAAGTGAGTTTCTCCTGTTAGATCCTTTTATTCTAAGCTCCATGACACCAGTTATAGTTATATGAAAATAGCTCAAAAAATAAATAAAACTGGAGTAATCTCCCCCCCCCCCCAATTTTCTCGAATATTCTTATATAGCGGGGGGGGGGGCGGACCGCACCGGTAACACCAAAACAAAAAAAATTGGGGGGAGAGAGAGACGAAACAATGACGCAAAAATTCAAGCTTTTGAAAATGTGAACACTTTAAAGATTTTAGTGGGGGGGGGGGGGAGGGGTTTACACAAACTGCAAAATTTACAGATTTAAAAAAAAAAAGGGGGGGGGGGTTGACACCCGACCTAGCATCGCCACTGGTAAAAAGGTCATCCATTTTTAACGTTCACATGGGGGGGGGGGGGGGAATCCGAAAAAAATTAACTTCAGGACTGGGCATTTACAAAATGTATCTATTTTTAAAGAGTCACTGACATTTTTATTTCAATACTTGATATTTGATTAGTATTAGGTGTATATGTAACCAATGAAGTATGACACTTTTGTCTTCTACTCGATGGTAGGTTCGATCTTTTATTGTGGTATCAGCAAAACCAAATAAAATAAAAAACTGAAAACTAAAACCCAACAGACCTCCTAAGTCCGGTCACAGTAAACACGTCAGGATTGGTTTCTTCTAACTTGGTCTGGATTTACAACTCGTACCACGACCAAGGTCTAGTCTCTCGTGTAGCTACTGGTTATAATCTCCGATCGTGTGTTGATGAGTCCGTATTTATTGGCTAACCCTGGAATCTGCCAATATTCCTGAATGTCGATAAGTCATGTCCTATCTGTCAAAGTACCAGTCCGTCTTCCCCGTACATCACTCCCAATCTCGTCCCGTGCGACGTAAATTACCTGTTAATGCTACTCACATGCTACTGTTAATGCCCCGCACCCCGTGGTCAGTTCCAGATATTTTATGGGAGATGGCCGGTGGTTCGCTACTAAACGCCGCAGGTGTCCAGATCTAATCGGTTCCTGACCAGCGTTTCCGGTATAGTTATGGTGCTAGCCTTCTTGGCACAGCAAGTACGGTCACTCTGGCCACGCCCCAGTTGATAAATGGGTACAGGTAATGTCGGTCAAGTCCGCGGGTGGTCACGATGTCCCCACCACTAATGGTCGTAACTTCCCTTAGTTATATATATATATATATATATATATATATATATATATATATATATATATATATATATATATATATATATATATATATATATATATTATATATATATATATATATATATATATATATATATATATATATATATATATATTTATATATATATATATATATATATATATATATATATATATATATTATATATATATATATATTTATATATTATATTATATTATATATATATATATATATATATAAAGCAATGTATGTGTGTTTGTCCATTATGCATTACTACAACTCTCATAACATCGCCGTGACACTTTGGGAAGTTGTTGAGAATATTCCTGGGGAGGTTTCTGCGAAAAAAAAAAATTTCAAATTCGCAGGGGTGGCGCCCCGGCAGGGCGCGATTTGTTTTTCTCTATATACGGTATATAAAAATAAAAAGTTGACTTTGGTTTGACATCGTTCATCTGCTAGCCATGAGACTTTTGGGAGTTGATAAGAACACTCTAGAGAAGGGTTCTGTAGAAAAATCATTTTTAATTTCGCAAGGGCGGCGCCACGGGAGGGTGCGATTTTTCTCTATATACGGTATATAAAAATAATAAAAGTGAATTGCCGTGACACCGTTCACACGATCGACATGAAACTTTAGGAAGTTGTTGAGAATATTCCTGGGGAGGTTTCTGCGAAAAACAATATTTCAAATTCGCAGGGGTGGCGCCCCGACACGGCGCGATTTGTTTTTTTCTATATACGGTATATCAAAATAAAAGTCGATTTTGGTTTAGCACCGTTCATCCGATAGCCATGAGACTTTGGGGAGTTTATTATACAACTCTAGGGAAGGGTTCTGTAAAAAAATAATTTTTAATTTCGCAAGGGCGGCGCCACGGGAGGGTCCGATTTTTCTCTATTTACGGTATATAACAATAATAAAAGTGAATTGCAGTGACACCGTTTATCCGATAGGCATGAAACTTTGGGGAGTTCATTATAAAACTCTAGGGAAGGGTTCCGTAAAAAAATCATTTTTAATTTCGCAAGGGCGGCGCCACGGGAGGGTGCGATTTTTCTCTATATACGGTTTATAAAAATAAGTCGATTTTGGTGTGACACCTTTATCCGATAGCCATGAGACTTTGGGGGAGTTGATTAGAACAATTCAGGGAAGGGTTCTGTAAAAGAAATCCTTTTTTAGTTTCGCAAGGGCGGCGCCACGGGCGGCTGCTATTTTTCTCTATTTACGGTTTATAAAATTTCGGTTTCACACCGTTCATCCGTGTACCATGAAACTTTGGGGAGATGATTAGATTACTCAATGGTAGGGTTCTGCAAAAAAATATTGCGTAGCGAGTAAGGGGTACTACTATATTCAGCTATAACAGGCTTCTAAAAATAACTTTGTAACGCGAGGAAATCCTTCTGTACAGTTTCGTCACCTTGCGAAAGATGAAAAAATAACTTTTTGAATTTGAGGAGCCTACTGTAGAGTTTCGTCACTTTGCGAATGATGCAATAAGCATCTATTATTAGACAATTCAGTCAGAAATTGAGATCGAGCATCTAATAATAGACCATTAGTAAGGCTAGCATATTGCATCAGTCACACTGATATTTAAAATACGTCAAATAATTTTTTTACGTGTTAAAGAAAAAAATCCTGTTCATTTGTGTCACTTTAGCGAATGACGAAATCTGCATCATTATTAACAGGATGCTATTTGGCCGATGGCGCCTGTTAGTTTTAAGGAGCTAGGGGTCGTACGCCGCGCCTATGCGGTAGTGTAATCGGGGGGTGGGGGCCATGAGAGCGCCCATCCAAGTCTCTGACACAGAGGCGGTCACCCAAGTGTGTTCTACCATATTATTTCGGTGAGTGATTAATACACACTCATGCGGTTTTCATGCGGTAGTGTAGGTAAACCCGTGTCCTGATATTTATGATCCAAGAACAGGCATTGTTTACATTTAAATAACTCATTTTTAGAAAAGAAGGTCACGCGTCTAAGAACATATAATTATAATTGATAACGCGTTGGTGAAATCCTAATATATTTCGTCAAACTTTCTTCTATCCCCGCGGCAACGCGCGGGGGTCGGGTACGCTAGTATATATATATATATATATATATATATATATATATATATATATATATATATATATATATATATATATATATATATATATATATATATATATATATATATATATATATATATATATAATTTTAAAGTTTTAAATATAAAATAATATTTATTAATATAAAAAGATACACGTTTTGCATAAAACATAATAAAGTATTTTAGGGTTCGTCCATAAATGACGTCACAAACCTGGTGGGGGGGGGGGGGGGTCAGACATTTTTTTAGTTTCTAGAAAAATAAACTTAATAAATACTAAATATTTTACATTGTTTGCGATACTTCTAACAAAATGTATACTTTTGTGTAAGTTGTCAAAAGATTGTAAAATATATCGTTGTTCTAATAAAATTGCCTTATAATTTGACGATGTATGTTGTATAGTAGACTGCCACGTATTTGCAAATTTGTCAATAGTGCTATTTGACTAAAGATCGGAAGCTTGTCAACTAGTGAGGGTAAGGCAGTGGTATCAGTGTGAAAGGTTAGTCTAGTCAGCTTTTGCAAAGATTTAAAACAGTTTAATGGAGAGTGAATTGAAAGTACAGGTAGATTATACGTAGACTACCACTTACAGCTTCCCTCATAATTTTTACTTTCTCTTAAAGAGAAAGTATTGTAATCGTGCAAAAAAAAAATTCGGGATTTTTACAAATCTCGACGTTTTACACCTCACCAGTGGCGTAGCGAGGTCGGGTGTCATCCGGTGCGGCACTTAATGGTGTCACCCCCCCCCCCCCCAGAGGCATAGAGACCCTTCCCAGGGACAAACTTTCAAATTTTCGATTTGCACCCCCCTCAAACTTTCGATTTGCACCCCCCCCTCAAGTTTTCGATTTGCACCCCCCCCCCTCCTCAAACTTTCGATGTGCACCCCCCTCGAGTTTTTCTCTATATATTTTGCTATTTTTTGCCTTGGTGTCACCCCCCTAAATGGTGTCACCCGGTGCGGTCCGCACCCCCGCCCCCCCCCCCCCCCTCGCTACACCCCTGCACCTCACTGATGCGGAAAAACATAATTTTGCAATCTTGTCCGTATGTCTGTGTATGTGTGTGTGTGTGTGTGTAAACACGATTACTTGAGTACCGTTACAGCTAGGTTGATGAAATTTCATATATAAGTATTTTATCAAAATCGTAGATCCATGTCAACTTTTGAGCGATTTCCGATAACCTGAAGTGGTACTTTTTCTACGTTGAATTTTTCAAAAGCCTATAACTTGAGTACTATTTCAGATAGATAAATGAAATTTCTCATGTAAGTAAAAGATCTAATTCTCTACCTTCTGTCAAATTTTGAGTAATTTCCGTTGACCAGAAGTAGTAATTTACGCTATTTCCGATTTCTCAAAAAACAAGTGTAAATTTATAAAGTACTATTATGCACATTTTATTAGGCGTTCACATGGTGTGCAGTTCTTTTTTTTTACGAGATTCTTATCTATTATAAAAAGTTTAAGTCATTAAAAATGGATTACAAATATTGTCTATGTCCTGAGTTGCCATTCCTCG